CTCCCCCACTCTCTTTTCTTCAACTTGCTGAGAACCATGGTACAAATGACTAAACCTTAATTCCTGGGCACTCTTCAGAAAAGGTCCTACAGCGTTTAGCTATTAGAAAAACCCCTTATACTACACTTCACACCATCAGAGCATTGCACAGGCATTGAATCATTTGTTCTTGCAACAGAAATTCAAATCTGGCCGGTTTTATCATCCTACTTGTGTAAGGAGGGAAACTGAGGCAGGGAATGATTGTGTCTGACCAGTGCCAGGTGGCAAATGAATGGCGACACTTGCCATAGCAGCAGAGACTGCCTGCCGCCTCCTGACAACACCATTAGACTGGACTGGGTGCAGAAGAGCTGAATCTCCTCTTTTGACTGATACTGGGTTTTTTCTCAGAGGAACGAGCAGGAATTTTACCCAGCGATCGCAGCACGGAGCTGGAATGAGATTTGTCCCAAGTGGCAGCCCCTTACACGCCAGGTTGCGTAGGGTGGACGATTAGCAAAACATCCATTGGCAGCTGAGCATGGGATCAGAGGGGGAGGCCGGGAGGATGGGGAGGGAGGGACGAGGGAGCCACTTACATGGTAATGTTTCTGCACGGTTCTTTTGGATCATTATGCAGAGCTGTAGCACCAGTTGAGGGGCGCTCTCGAGGAAAGTTTCCAGGAGGCGCAACATATTTACGTCTGCATATTCGTACATCATAGCCCAGTAGAAACGCCGCTGGTGTTCCTTCCGCCTCTGGCTCTGGATCCCTAGGTACATAGTTCGGATATACCTGCAGGAAACAGGAGGAAAAGCTGAGTGTGAGACTTTGGCACGCATCAAAACCTGAGGAAGATGGGGCTGTGCTCCAGTTGTTTGGGAAGAGGGAGGCTGTCTGGGGGAAAGAGGATCTGGGGTAGATACAGGTGTCTACACAGCTCTAAAACTATCTCCTGCAAGCTCTGAGGACTACTTTTGCTTTGCAAGAGTGGGAAACCTTTGACTTGCACCACCCAAATGTGAAGCGTGGGGGTTAGGAAATGCTCATGAAACGTTTGCACAAGAAAACAACTCCCTCACTTTGTTTTCATGATGAGGAGAGGCTACTTGACAAATGCTGGTCATGACACTTGGCGGTGGCTTGACAGATCATCTAAGCCCCTTCAGCACTGTAATAAGGAACTTCCCTGACAGACCCCAGAGATTTGACCCTATTTCATCACAGGTGGAGCAATGAGACACCACCTTCACCTTCAGCACATGTGTGATCCACAAATGCAAAAGGCTGCAGCTTGCCACTGGTCAGCTCTTGAGACTTTGGGCAATATTGGACTGGAAGGAGGTGTCTCATGCACGGACAGGTACTGCTCTATTGCCTCTGCTTCCATATCAGGTGTGCGAGGAGACCTGCAAACCTCACCCTGCGGACACAAATTCCCTTCAGGCAACCTTTGGCCAACCTTTGTAAATGGAGGCGATCTGGTCAGAGTAGCACAAGGTGCCCAGATGTCACAGGACTCACAACATTTAAGAAAGGAAGCATCTCCTGACAGGGTCCTTTCTGATGCTTGCTGATATTAATGATTTAATATTGGGTCTTTTTCCTTCTCATCCTGAGTGGTGGCTGTAACCTTGTGCTCTGAAATTTGGGATGGGAATCATTTCACCTAACGCCACCCCTGAAGTTGGTCATCTGAGCTAGTCAATGGATAGAAATGTCCCCTCCTGGGACCGTTCATCTGTCCCACCTCAGATGCCAGCATGACGGGGAGATGAAGTGCCTTCTGAAGGCTCTGGGAGGGGCTCGCAGCACAAACTGGGGTTTCGCCAAAATGATTAGATCATTCCTTGCCACTCGAGGCGAGATTGCACAGCAAGGAAGAGCAGGAGGAAAGGACATAAGCCTCGACAGCCTCTGCATCTCCAAATTACACCCAGGGACACGGAGATGGAAGAGAAGCGAAGGTAGCTCTGCAATCCCTGCCCTTTCTCAAGCACCCCGTCCTTCCTTCCCGTTCGCAGTTCACAAGCACGGAAGACGAAAAATCCCGAAAGAAGACACAAGGACACAGAAAATGACGCAGGGAAGCCACCAGATGGGGCTCGACGCTCGAGAAAATGCTACGCCAGTCACATACGACACTGGTGACACTGGTGTGACATCCCCAGCAGAGCCCGAGTGGGGTGGAAATGCCCGTGGACCACCTGCTCTCCCATGGACACCTCCTCCCACTCCCCCACATGCCCAAGGCCACCGCCTGTACTCGGCATTTCCCTGAAAGACCCCAGCCCCAGAAGCTGCAGGATAACACAGGAATCCTGCCTTCCCTTCACACGTGCAAGAAATTAAATAAATGTAGTTTAGCAGGAAAGGCAAAGTTGGGGAGAGCGAGTTGTAATGGCTCAAGGAGAAAGCAGAGAAAAGGAGCATGCAGCTGGTTGTTATAATATCAGCAACACAGGGCCACCGAAAACCAAGGTGGTGGTGCCCATAAGGTGCTGCCCATGGGAAAAGACAGTATCACCTCTGCCAAACTCTTTCCAGAGAGATATTCACCAAATCTGTCCTGTAGTCTTGCATGGCCTCCCCTTCCCAGGAGCTCCCATTCATATGAAAACTAAACTCCTCTTCTGAAGTTTAAGCCACTAATTTCTCATCATCCCAGCTATGGACAAATAGAAGAATTTATTCACGTTCAGCCTGCAGCAGTCTTTTACCTGGTTGCGGCTAGTTACCATGTAAACCCTCAGTCGTCTTTTCTCCAGACTAAAAAAAAAACCCAGTTTCTTTCAGTCCCTTCTCACAGCTCACATTTGTTAGACCTCTACTCTTGCACATTGCTGATCCCACCAGCTGTCTCCAGTTTTTGGTTATTTTTAAGACTGCCTTTACTTTTCTGAGCCCTCCAGGTTGGCAGAACCAAACTATAACAACGGCACTGAGTCACTCAAAAAGATTAAGAAGAAACTAACAGAAGGGACACCACATCCTGCAATGATTTCTCCTTGATCTCTAGGGATTCACCACCATCCACACAGTTTAAGCATGAATGTTTCTCACTGGCCACAGTGAGAGGACATGCCACCTATTCATGGAGGCAGCATGCATAAAAGGACATAAAAATGCATTGGATAAATGTAATGCCCTGATCCTGTCTCCATCAACGGCCAGAACAACAGCAATGACAGCAACACCAAATTCTCTTGGCTGTTGAGCCCACAGCCTTTTGCAAAGGTCAACTGTGTTATGCCCCTTCCATAGATGAGGAAACTGAGCCATGGAGCACCAAAAGGGCTCTCCCAAAGTCTTCTGGCATCAGAAGCCAGATCTTTTAGTGCTGTCCCCAGCCTCTAAACACCACAACACAAAGCCATGAGTGGAGTACCACTCTGCGTGCTGCTGATCCTCTACCCAGGGTACACATACTTCCTTGACACTGTAAAGCCCAGACCTGCCCAATCTGATCTGTACTGGAAGACCAAGAAGGACAAAATCTGTCCCTATCCAACTGCCCACGGGACTGTGACCTCGGGATTCCATTGGCATACTTTTGGCCAGCAAAAGGTCACAGCCACCCAAATGAACAGCACCTGAGCAAAACAGCTCCAAGGAAATGAACTCAGAAATGAGAGTCCCTTTGCACTCTCTTTTCAGTCCATGCGAAAATATGGTGCTCTCTCTTTAGCATCCTTCAGAGCCAAATCTGAAAAATGGAGGAAAGAGGGGAGTGAAAACCCATCCTCCTTGATGCCAGTCGATTGTGAGTTTTTAGCAGGGAAAGTGAGAGGGTAACTGGGAAAAGCAGTGTTTCTACCTGGTAGGCTTTCAACAACTAATAAATACCTGTCTAATTAATAGATACAAAATTTCACTCAGCTGTAACATTGGTAAAGCTTAACCCTTTTTCTGAACACAAATATACAGCACAGGTGTAAGCAGTTTTATTCCAGTATATCTGTTTCTTCTTTGTGGTATTTTATTTACTTGTTTGAAGGCTTTTTCCTACCTTAACTAGCACTGCTTAAGTGTAGACAAACTCTGAGGAAAAAAAAAAAAATCAATGTCATTTCACCTGAAATTTGTTGTTCTCGGTCAAGCTGGTAGCAAACAGGATTCTATAATTAGACTTTCAAATCCATATTCAGGCCTGATCTTCAATCTTTAGCAACACGATGCTTCCTCTTATGTCAGTGAAAGCCATTCACTGCTCCGTGCTTTTGAAAATCAGGCTAATTTATTTATTTAAGAGCTTAATTTTGGATACAGGAGCCTAACTTCGGCCTTTTTATTTTTTGAATGCTTGCTATTTTTGTATACAAGTGTGTGTATTTGTGTGCATGTATGTATTTTTAGTTCTAAGTCCCATCATGGCTTCAAGAGATAGAACTAATTTGGGTTGGGAGGGGGATTTGGGGTGATTTTCTTTAAATGCACAAAGGCTTGGCTGTCCCCTCCATTCTGGCGGGGTTCCCAGAATTCCTGTTGGTATAATTACCCTCACGCTTATTTACTACGTATGTCGCAGTAGCACACAAACTGTGCGGGGCGAAGTCACTGCTGTCCCTGTGCCAAAATGTGTTTTTAAGGAGCCAAAGCCATCGGCTCCATAAATATGGTCAAATAACTTTTGGAGAGAGCCCCAGGATGCCACCAGGAAGGAGAAGAGAAGATGTTCCTACTGTAAAAAAAAAACCCCACCCTAAGTGCTATGGAAAAAGATGCTTCATGTGGATGACAGAGGCTGCTCAGCAGTCTCAGCAAGGACTGTAGCAGAAATGTCCAGAGATAGGATTATGGAGTCAGAAGCTCTGTCTATATCATTAAACAAAGCAGACCAAAGACCAGCCTTTGTCCTTGGCCAGCTGGCATGACTTGACTCCACGTGGCTACGTCCATACTAGTTGGCCTTGGTCAAAATTGCCAGAGACTGTGCTGACAATATAACAGGGTGAACTATTACAGGATCATGCCTGTGCCTTGGCACCGTTCGATTTACAGAGGTGGCTCTGAATATCACCAGCAGAAAGCGTAGGATGATGCCTCAGACAACAGGCTGGTTTGAAACGAAGAGGATGCTGATGTGTAAGAAGGTTGCAGGAGCACAGAAAGACACGTCAGCACAGGCTTTGGGCTATGTTTTGAGGCAAGAAGAGTCCTGATGGCCTGTACCACACAACCATGAGCTGATCAAGGTCAGGAATCTCAGACTGTATCTACAATAGTCAACAAAGGGCAGGGGCCTGATCACTTTTCCCAAGGCCAATCGGCCCAGACTGACTACAGAAATGAACTCTTTCATCCTCCAAAACCAGGTAGCTGCCTTCATACTCAGTATTGGGAATGATCCCTGGCCTCTATGGAGCCCGGAACCCTGCCCAGGTTATGATTACTTGGAAGAGGGCTAGCAAGCCTTGACCAATCTAGTGATTATGCTAACTATTTAGCGGCATGATGAAGTTACAGTGCCCAAGAGCAGGCCTTGGAATTGCCTAGTTTGCTAGTATAGCTATATGGAAAGATGGAAAGGAATAGAATTTGAGGTACTCAGTCCACTCCCAACAAATCCAGGTTGGGAAAGTCTTCTTGACCAAGCACAGCCAAGCCTCCTACTGCTTTCAGAGAAGCAAACCCTGGCTTGAAAAATGGGAGAGCACGCTTGAGAAGTTAGAAACAGAACTCTAGGGAGAGCAGGAGCTTAGAAAATTAACTCTGCTGAGTAGGTTGCAACTTATACCTGCGGCACCTTACATGCCCTTTTGGATGAGTAAGATTTATGAAGACCAGGAGGGCAA